GCCTGCTCGCCTGCCGCGGGATGCGGCGTTCCTCCCTCCGTCCCAGCAGCGCCGTGTGTAACACATCTTTCCAAAAGCTGTGTTACAGCAACAACAGTCTCGGTACAAAGGCAGGAAACTCTGATTTTTCTCTTGTGGCTGCTTCTCCGAATGCTGGGCTGCAGTACCTCGGTCTGCTGGGGTGAGATCATGCCTCTGCTGCCTCCCACTTCTTCCCCCCCTCCTTTTTTTTTCTTTTTGGATATGCCTGTTTTGATCTGTACGCTGTGGTAGAATAGGTAATGGGAGCTACTTGCTGGTATCTGTGAATTTTGGATAGCAGAACTTCCATGATATTGCCTATAGTACCGTATCACGTATTGTCGATACTTTATCAGAAATAAAGTACGGTGTGGGAAGTATTTCAAAATCGAGCTTGTTTTTGTGAACTGAAGTTTAAAAGAAATTAGAGGAGTTCGATTAACGAGTGAGGCAAACCTTGGTAGTCCACACTTCCAGCGCCTTTCTGACTCTACCTTCGCAGTTCCACGCTGCGGCAGCTTCCTGCCAGGATAAGGTAAACTCCGCGGAGGTCACGGATGTGTCTGTGAGCCCTTCCTTCGGGGTGACAAAAGGCATTCCTTCCAGCCCTCAACCCAGATCTCGAGTGCTCCGTCCCCAGAGCACTCACTGCCCTCTGAGGAGCAGCGGGTGGGAGAAATGATGGGAGAAAATTCATCTGGGTCTCCTGCATGGCAGACACAGCACGGCTGCTGAGAACTTTTTGCTGCCACGGTGACTTTCAGTGGTAACAATAATGACAACTTTTTCTAGAATTCTTGGGAGTCGATGTAGTAAACAAATGTTGTTTGACAGGCTTTGTGCTCTGCTTGAACAGTCTCTACGCACTAGCTACCTGCTGTGTCATAAGTGGTGAAACTGGCATGTGAGTTTAATGCATCAATATGTTTGTTGATGCAAAAATTGAAAGGTGAGATGTCTCTGTGTAATACCTTAACTTCCTCCTTTCTGTTAAAGCTCACTCTGCTGTGAGCAGAACCTTGTAACAGTAGTTCAGGAGAGATTTGTTGCACTTAGTTTTGCTTTTCCTTCTGCTCATCTAGCGTTTTGTCTTTGGTGACTGCAAAAGAGATTTGTGAAGCCCTTTTTTTTTTTCTTTTTTTTTTCCTTTTTCAGTGGTTACTCAGAGAGAGGAGAAACAGGTAAGCAGCAGGAGGTGTTCTGGAACTCTTTGCCTCCTTCCGAAGGCTAAGTTGAATTGGTGTCTCAGCATGCAGCATCTAGCGTGTCATATGTAAAAGATCACTTTGATTTAAGTCTGTCACAGCATTAAAAGAGAGTAATGCTTTTGGATGTGTTGCATTTTGTAGGATTTGTGAAACTCTGATTATGTGGTGTTATTCTCTTGAAGAAAAAAGGAATTATTACCTTTACTTTTCTTACGCTGATTAAGTAAGGACAGGCAGATGGGGATGACCGATGAGGCCATAATCTGTTATTGTAGAGTTGTATCCATTAGCATTTTCTCAGCAGTATAATTAAAAAATATTAATTTAATTGGAATGTTGAGTGGCATCAATGGGATTCATCACAGGAGCATGACTTAAATTGGAAACTAGTTAAAACGCAAAATTGGTCAAGGCAACATTTTCAGTCTTATTTAGCCTTGTGTGTGGCCGTTCTAATTGTACATCATTTGATATGTAAGTTCCTTGGGGATGGGAAATCCCATCCATCTTTGGTGTTCTTTGCAAGATGGATCTGTAAATAAGTCAGAATTGTAAGTAGAAAATACTTTACTGATTGTATGGGAGGTTATTTTTAATATAGTCAATCAAATAATCAAATGTACTCTCAGGCACTTTAATGTGAGATTTACTGGCTCCTTCATGTGGTATTAACTTAGGTGTTAATGTTTCTCTTTCCAGCTTCTCTTTGCCATACCAGTTTTGCACTGGGTTGAGATTGTGCACAACTTTAGATCAATGCATTCTTTATCGTGATGTACCATCTACTTATCACAGCAAAGCACTTAAACTGCTACTGCCAGTTCTGTTAGTAATCTCATGCCCCTTCCTCCCCCCAAAATTTGAAGGCTAGGTTATTTTGAGCTGTTCGAATTTTCTGTCAACAAGTAATCCTCATTTTAACTGCATGAATTATCCACAGTCCTGGTACTAAAATGGAACTAAACTTTAGTTTGGCAGCTGAAAATGGCTGGCTTAGCTGTAACAGAGTTCTTAATTTTTTATTTTTTTTTTAAGTAGTACTACATACGAAGAGGGAAATGAGGGGAAGTTGAAAAGAAAATTTTTTTCAACACAGCTGATGAAGAGCTTACCACTTCACTTGTGAAATGGCATAGCTTGGTAAAATCAGTTAAATAACAGCTAATTATAACTTTGTAATGTCAGTTGAATGGAATTTGTTATACCTTAAAAAGAAAACTTCTGTCTTCTAATTAAGATCTCAAACATTAGGAATTCAGACACTTTCCTCGTACTTACTCTTTTTCATAGCACTTCTTGCATAGCTGACATTGCTCTTAACTTGCACAGAATTGGATTGATTTTGTGACTGTGTTCATTTTTGCATCATCAGTTGCTGAAGCACAGCTTCTTATACGTATGTAGTTAACTCTTTTGGAACTTTCTTGAAATACAAGATTAATAGTAGGGCTGTTATCTCTTTGGTGTCTAACAGTTAACATACTTTAAAAGAAGAACTGTAGTACCTCAACATAAATTCTGAGAACACGTTAGTCTATAATAATATGGGTGATTTTGTATTTCCGTCTTTTGTGGCATGGGCAGGTTTTCAGAAGCTCTGTAGTCAAACTGGAGTTGTATCTACCTGGCATTTTTCAAAACAACTTTTTTCCTGTGCTGCTGTGCTATTTATGCAAAAACTCATTTTGGTGAAGACCAGAGAGAGGAGAGATGTGGAGGGGGTGGAGTAGGGAATAAGTGCAGGGATGTTTGAAGAAAGAACTGTCTTCAAGAGGGGGGCTGATACGGAGACCTTGGTTTAAGAAAGCAGAAGGAATGGTAGATTTTTTTTTTTTTTACAAGGAACATGGTAGGGTAATACATTGGAAAGAGTGGTAGTTGCTGGTATGTGCAGAGCATCTTGCCTATGAAGTAGCCAAGTTTGCAGCCCTTTTGCATATTTTACTGTGCAGTAGATATAATTAAGTTGGCGTTTTTCCCTTTAGTTATTTGAATTTATTCTGATATAATCTGTTCTGCTTGTTCTTAAAACAAGGATGCTATTGCATCTTTTTTTTTTTAATATTTCTAGTAAGGTGGAATTTTTTTTTGCTGAGAATGGCTGCTAATTTTGTTTGCATTCACGTGTGCATTTTAAATTAACAAAAGTTAGTACTTCTGAGACAAATGCTGGAGAAGGCACAGAATTTACGTCTGTCTTTAAGGTTGAGCTCAGAATTGAGCTGAAAATACTTGAAGTAATGAGAGCTAGGTCCAAAACGAATAGCAGGCTTGCAACCTGCTGTCCAGGGGATGGGGGGACTGGAAGGATGGACCTGTGTCTGTTTTGGTAAGTGTAAATAGGACTTCTTTCTGAAACTGTCAGTTGTGAGCAAGGAGTCTGCAGTCTCTTTTCTTTTTTTTTTTCTTTTTCTTCTTCTTCCTCCCGCCATGCCAGAAGCCAATACACGGTGATGTATTATTTGGGTTACGTTTGCCATTATTTTTGTAAACAAATGTTAAGGTTTAAAAATCCTCCATATGATTCTTTGACTTCGATTTGATTTAGCATCTAGTCTTGAGTAGCTGTTTTTAATGAAACAGAAAAAGTCCAAGTTACTGGGGAGTTTACAGATATTAAGAAACTTTTGTAAGTTATGTTGGTGTTCTGCTATCTTCTAGATATTCAGGAGTTAGCTTTCCTGAGCTAAAGAAAATTGTCAGAACCATGGTTTACCTGACTATGGAAAGAAAAATAAACTTGAGTGGTCTGTTTTGTTTTTGGTAGATTAGAACTATTATGATCAAGTAATCTTTTAGTGGCTTTGAAGTTGCATGCACTTCTGTAGATCCATTCATTTGAAAACCATGCGTCAGTTGATTATCTGGGAAGAAAAATGACTGTCATAAATTTCATAAATGTGCATAATTCTAGCAAAAAATAGGAAATCTGCTGTGTGAAGATGATTGTCAGTTGAGAGAATCCTGTTTCTTGTGGCTGTGAAGACTAAGTGCATTGTGTAAGTGTTGACTTGTACTTCTTTCAGGCTAATGGGCTTGAAAGTATTTCTTCTGTCTCCATTCATCTTCCCAGTATCTAAGCAGGGATTCAGTAGAGACAGCTGGCTTATTTATTAGTTGCTGCTATCTGAATACTCCCCTAAACCAGCTTCAATCTACAGGTCTGAGTCTTAAGTCTTTTGCAGTTTCAAGAAGTGTTGAGTATATACTTGTTCTCATGCTAGGCCTCTTCTTTTTTTTTCTTTTTTTTTTTTTAGTTCACACTAGCATGGTAAGTCAGGAGTACTTTGTACTTGGTGTCTTAACAATGTCTGATTGTCACTTACGCCTTGTATCGGGTGGGCCTATGGGTTTAGGTTTTGGATACAAAGGCTTCCTCTTACTGTGTGCTTGTTGAGAAGCTAATTTTTATCTTGCTGAAGAGTTGGGATGGTCTGCTGGACTATTTACATTTTTTTGACCTCCACATTACTGTTTAGCTTGTCAGGGATAAAAATAATTGTCATCTTATGGCTTTTAAATAGTTTATTTAAAGAAGGTTGTTCAGTGTTGTCTCTAGCAGAAAGTTATTCCCACCCCCCAAAAGCAGAAAGTTTACTGTTCTAGAGCTGTTAGTCTGAAACTTTCTAGCACCTCAGAGTACCTTGTAGTGATTAACTTGGAGTTGTTGGATATGAGCAAAATACAGATTACTAATCATAAGGTTAAAAAGAAGAAGTGATTTAAAAAAACCAAACCTGCTATCACTCCTTCCCTAGAATGAGTTTGAATTTCTTTTCCCTGTGATATTTGATACTAGTTCTTTGCGCTATGTTAAGCAGCGACATACACAGTAGTGGTTTTTGTGTGCTGTGGTAATAGCATTTTTGCTTATCTCTCTCTTCTTCCCCCCTTCCCCCACTTTCCCTCTTTTTTTTTTTTGATACTTTGCTGTCTAGCCAGTATCTTGAGAAGAGCTGGATAAAATGGGTGTAGCTTGTATGGCTTACTTGAACTAGAACTAGTCTTAAATATAGCCCAATTGCAAATGTGTGTACCAAAGACGGTCCTTAACTGTATCTGAAAGTGGCTTGCCGTTAATTAGGAAGCAACTACACAATAGTTGATGTTGAGTGTGTGTTTCCTTGTTTCATTTGGAGGCAGGTGGTTTTTCTCCACCAAATGGTGACTATGTGTGCAAGTAGCCATGATCTAATTTATGGTCAGCCAGTATTGAGGAGGTCCAGAGGATAATTACTAGAACTGAATGTCAAATGTACAAGTCTTAATATAATGTTCCTTGGTTGTTGGACAGGTTTAAGTGTTTTTAAGTTTTGATGTCTGACTC